TATATATATATATATATATATATATATATATATATATATATATATATATATATATATATATATATATATCCTTAAGGATTGATTTTACGATTATACGGATTTGGCGCATTTGTCGGATGCATATTTGTCAAGCATTCTTTGTTAGCAAACATTCGTGTGAACAATTTGTTGGCGCACATTGAAATAAGGCTATTTATTAGCGTACACATTCCTAAACAGTGAGCATATATACAATTTTATACAATGGTAGCATCTTACTCATACAAAAAAGAATTTGAATCATTTTCAAATCTTATTTACAATCAAATTTACTAATTACTAATTAGTAAATTACAACACAATCAATCAACATTTATGAATCTTTAAGGAATTTCATCCTGTTTATCCATAATACTCTGCTCTCATCATACATTTTTAGTCACATATAACATTTATACGTATTTCAAAAATTCTTTATATATTTAAATGTATTGAAATATTTGCATTTCAATCAGAAAATCTTTTTTTTTCGTTGACAAATCGCACATTCATAGTTCAATTATACTTATTGAACTCTCCAATCTTATCCTCATTTTTAAAAATTCCGCTTTAATTAGCGGAAATTAGCTTTAATTAAATGAACGACCCAAATATTTGAAATTATCTAAATAATTAGCTTCGTTTTTAATGAGAAGAAAGTTACAAATTTTTAATAGATTGTATATGCAAAAACAAAAAAAGAAAGCTGTGGAAACTGTCTTGTTGAAACTAACAAATACAATCTAAATTTTGCAAATTTGATTTTAATCTATACTCAGATAACCCATACTGCGATATATAAAGATTAGAGAAAGAGAGAGATTAAAAGTAGAGATTAAAGTAGAGATTCGAATTTGAAAAATTTAAATATAAGTAAGAAAATTGTGGATACAATCAATTCAATGCAGTAGAAATGCGACATTGCTACCATTTTACCGAACAGTAATTAAAAATAAGGACTATGTGAATATTTTACACAAGCATATGCAAATTTTCCAAAATCAAAATTTGCAATTTGAAAGTCACTATTATTAGAATTGAAATTTCGTTTGAAATATTTCGTAACTATAATTTAATTAAAAAATAGTTTTCTACTCTAACTAGTACTAATGAAAAATTAGGTTAATTCATGATGAAATAAAAAATAGAACATCATATATATCAACTAAGTTTTCTCGAATTCAGTGTTAAAAAATCACCTTAAATTATGAAACTTTTCCGAAAACCATCAAATAAATTGGCAAAGTGTTATGATCCTTTGTTGTCACTGCTATTAATTGGCAATATGTGACAATTCTCCTTTGTTATTAATTAACAGTCATTGTAATTGTTTTACTTATTGTTGGTATTTTTCGTTGTTAATTAAATTTCTTGTTTTTTGTTTGTTTATTTCCAATCCCAAACTTATTGTTTATATATTCCTGCAAAATTAATTGAAGTAAATTTAAGTTAAATTTTTCTAAATTCTAAGATAATACTTATATTGTTAAAAAGTTGCATTAAATCACTGGAAATGTAATTCATACAAATGCATCCCGTAGTATAATTGGAGGACCGGGTTATCACATTGGAAAATTTTCTGGAACTTTGTAATGGTTCCCTGAACATAAAATAATTGATCAAAAAGATGCAATCAATATTCCCCGCCTGCCTTCCAATCCTTTTTCCCCCGCCATTTCATGCTCCACTCTCAAATCGATATCGATGTGCATTATGACTTTTTCCTTCTTTCCTTTTTTTTTCATTATAACTTCAGTTGGAAGATAATTTATTATCATATCGGATTAAGCCTACAAGGCATGCTTACACATTGTTCACACTTTGTTTATGCAAAAAATTGCAGCTGGTGACGAAATATGACGTGGATCCACAAATTCAACGTCTTGTTGATGAGTTGGACTGGTTTATTGTTCCGCTGCTCAATCCTGACGGATATGAATATACTCGAAGTAGCACTAATCCGGAAGTCCGACTTTGGCGCAAAAATCGCTCACCACTGACTTGTCGAATTTCACACAATGGTACTTTCTCATTACTTAATATAGAATCTATGAAAATTGAGAGGAAAATTTCCAGTCTTTCATTCTTGAAAAAAAAATATAACTAAATTTTGTTCTATATGCTTCCTACCAATACAGTAACTCTTCATCTACGGCGCTTAACTTGAAGACGTTTAATTAAAAATAAATATCAACTTATTATCGGCTGAAACGGTTCTTACTGCAACTTAATATAGTGGAATATTAGTTTATTGCAACTGAAGCAGTTCTTACTGTAACTTAATATAGCGGACACAGTGAACGAAAATAACTTATAATGAACATTTCTGAATTTTTTCAATATGTTGGAATTTAAAAGTTAAAATCAAAATCATGATGAAAGCAAAAAAGAAAAACCAATTCAAACTAATTTTGAAAATGCTTAATTTTAGGAATTTTTTCACATCCTCAACAAAAATGCTGTCAAGGTGTTGACTTAAATCGTAATTATGATTGGCAATACGGTATGGAAGGCTCATCTAACGATCCATGCTCAGAAATTTATCAAGTTAGTTGACGATCGATACTACCATTAACATGAAATATCAAATTTTACTCTTATAATTACTAATAATCTTTTCATAACCCTTTTATGAAATATATATATAAATATGTATTGAAAAAGTTGATTTCAAAAAAAGTTTTTTTGAGTGATCTGAAAATTTTTATTTCACCTTTTTTTCATTTAAATTAGTGTTAGTATAAAAAATGATTCAATTGAAATTAAAAAAAAAATTTCTTTTGGAAATATTTTAAGTTTACAATTGAAGAGTGAAATTTTTTCGGTTGACACTTTATTAGCAATTAATTTTTTTTTCAATTTCTGTTTTTAACTTACCAAAAATAACTTTTATTCAATTGTGCCAGAATTTGAATAGTTTGAAAAGATTTACAAACAAAAAAAGAAAAAGAGGAAGAAATGAAATATGATTACTATTTGTTTGTTTACAATATTTATTTCTAACATCCATCTTGCAGGGTCCGTCTGCATTTAGCGAGCCGGAAACACGAGCCGTATATAGATTCATTGCTGAACGACGTCATATCATTAAAACATTTCTAACATTTCATAGTTATTCTCAAATTTTAATGTACCCATTTGGACACCGTGAACGGACCTATACATCTGATGTTGATGATTTAGTTAGCAATTTTTATTTTCTACTATTCCATGCACATACTGCATGCTGTCAAATGTTGATTGACCTCACTGCTATGATGAGAATTATCTTACGCTGATTTTCTTTTTTTTTTCTCTCATAAAAATGAAATATACCAGTAGCGCAAAAGTAATTATCATAAAGCTTTTATTAGAATACCAATTGGAATGATTGGCGGGATGATGAAATGCTTAATATTATTAATTTATAATGTAAGCTTATTGCAAGATTAAAAATCATAAAGCAATCATCAGTTCATTATTGTAGAGAAGTACAGCATTGCAAGCAGCAAACGCTTTGCGTGCAGCATATGGTACGCAGTATACGGTTGGTACCGGTGCCGATACTTTGTGTTAGTTTTGTTATTTGCTATAAACCGCTTGAAATTGATTAATACCATATTTTAGTTGGATAATTGTATTTAGTAAAATGCAAAAACTGAAATCGAAAATGGATAGACCTAATAAGTAACCTAATAAGTGGCTTTTTGCTTTTTTTCTTGCATAAAGATATTACTCAATAGTTTTTGAAATTCAAGATTTTAATTAAGCAGTCTGGGAATTCCTATTCGACAACTATATCGAAAGAAAGTAATAGTAGCTTTTTTACTTTCATACTTCCAGATCCTGCATCCGGCGGGGCCGAAGATTGGGCGAAAGGACGAATGGGAATAAAGTATTCGTATTTGTTTGAATTACGTCCAGATGGCGAAGTTTGGGATGGTTTTCTGCTAGATGAAAGTCAGGTAAATGAATAAATTAAAAAAATATCTTTAAAAAATTCAATTTCTTCTTTTGCATCAATTTTACAATTTAACATAATTTTCGCAACGATTTTCAGAAAATAAAAAAGAAGAGAATTGCAATATTAAGAATAATATTGACAATACTGTAATTAGGATAATATCATATCAAAAACATACCTTATTTATAAGGTTGACCATAGAAATAAAGAAAATTCTAGCTTCGTTGATATTTTCTGGAATAAATTTTCGTACTGTTAAATTTTAAACTAGTTGAAAATCTCTATAAGATTAAAATGCAACAATTAAAAGTGAAACTTTTAAATTGAAACTGAAAATTAAAATTTCTTCATTTGTTTTTTTTTAAAGATAATACCAACGGCACGTGAATCATTCGAAGCTGTAAAAGTGATTGCGAATCGTACCTCGGCGATGTTTACACCAAAAAATATAACACCTATAGAAATGAATAACTCAAAAAGAACGGTATGGGATTATTTATTTGTAAATATTTTCGTATTCAGAAATTTTTCCTTTTTTTTCTTTTTGTTTTGTATAAAATTTAATTACAAATTAATAAAGCCAAAATTATTTACACTAAAGTATTAAATTGATGTAAAAAATTCATTTGTGGATACTAAATTATTTAAATAAACTATTTAAATTCACAAACAATTTATAAACTTATTTAAATTCACAAAACTCGTCTTTAGTGAACAAATTAGATAGTGTTGTAATTCATACATTTTTGTTAATTAGAAGATTTGTTATTAAAGAAAGAAGTATGGAACATATGATGATAAATAAGAAATAAAAATATAGCGCAATATTTATTTGTAAATATATTACTTCTTACTGTATATTATATATCTCATTACGTTGAATCCTGAATAATTATTTTGTTACTCGTTTAATGCAACCTAAAATTAAGCAAATATTTGCAATTTTACTAGAAATATTAACCTACCTGATGTTTGTATAAAATGATATAGAAAGCTTTGAACAGTTACAATTTGATAAGACTGATTTCGTTATCACAATAATTATCAGTAATTTTCTTAGCGGTTACCGTTTCTTGTAAATTATTTATGGTCAATTTTAAAAGCAAAATGCACAAAATACAAATCCCATAATCACTTAATTACTACTAAATGTCAACACAAAATCAGTTATTAGATTTAAAGAAATTATTTCTTAAGAATTTCTACACATTCAAAGAAACCCACACCAACATTTACGTGAACTTACACGTCACATTAGTAAACTTTTTGAATGAATTAAAATAACAAATTGTATCTAAAATTTGATATATATATATATATATATATATATATTTGATGGGAAAATAATAAATTACACGTTCTATCCGATTTTTTAAGTTTCATTTCTTTCCTTATCACATATATTTCCAATATTAATAGTTACATTTGTATTTTTTAACGAATAAAATTGAAATTTAAAAATATGTAAATATTTTAGACATGCGTTGACAATGAACAATTTTTGCACTTTTTTGGGCTCGACATGGTTATTGCAGTAGTTGGGAAATTATGCGAAAAAATTTGCGCACGTTCTTGTGGTTTTTTGTAGAACATTTAATGTTACTACGTAAAATAGTGAAATGATTGTTTATGCAAAATTGTATAAATATTAAAATGAAATGAAAATACTCATTGATATATCAAACTATTTGCCTTTTTTCTTTTTTTTTTTAATGACAAAAATTTTTCCAAAAATAATTTGTTTATTGTTCTAAACAATAATTGCAATTAATTTTGTAGTTTATTTAGAGTTATTTATTTGAAGTTTTTTTCATGCATATAACAATGTTGTCGTTACTTTAATATAATATAACCTAGTCATTATTTTAGGACAAAGAAAGAATGAGAAAAGGAAAAAGAATAGTGATTGAATTAGGCCATCTAATATTAGATAGCTTATTTGAATTATTTAATGCTATTTCCAGACTTCAAAAATATATTAGCTAATGTGTCACAAAGTATTTAATTCAAATTTACGTTTGATTTATTTGCAGTTTTTTTCCTCAGCAAGGTTTTTGGCTATTTTTTTCAATTGCACTTAATTTGCTCCTCTAATTTGACAATTCCACACTTTAATTAATTAATTAATTAATTATCACAATCATGAACTTTTACTTGATGAATCATAATTCACGCGATTAGATAATTAACAATAAAGCAAACATATAGCATTATTAAAGTTTACCTATGTATGTATTAAGCGTATTTGTCGTGCTTTTTTTTTTTAATTTCCATATTTTTATAATTTCATTCGTAATATACTTAACCATATTTTTCATCATTTTCAGGTTTTTTTTTATTTTTCATTATTTCATTGAATGAAAAATGACAGTTTTTTCTAATTAATTTTACCGAAAAACAACGAAAAAAAGAAATCTCATTTTGTAAGGTTTTTCCAATGCAAATTTTCATCATATTGTTGCCATTTCCTTTTTTTTTTTTTTAAATTTATGAAAGTTAGCTTACTGTTATAATAATTATTTATAGTTTATTATCTAGCTTTCATTCATTGCAGCTTTTGCTACTTACATGAATTCATTGTTTGATAATTTGATGATTATCACCAAATGCTTTAATGCTTAATCCTTCTATATTGATTGCTAATTTTAGAATAAAATGAAAAAAAAATGAAATGAAATAAAGCAACGAAAAAAAAAAGAAGAATTGAATTTTTTCGAACAAAAGTAAACGATAAAAAGAAACAAATCGATAAATAAATACAAATATCATTTTCATGTGACAATAAATGCTTAACTCTCACATCACTTATCATTTGCATAACTGAGAACAATTTACTTGACTTTTCATCTTTTTTTCTTAGTTTTTTTTTTTTCTTTAGTCGATCATATGAGGTGAGTATTATTTGGGGTTGACTGAATTAACTTGAAAAGAGCGGGGATTTTTTCTTTCTAGGTGGTAAAATTGCCACATAAATTTTACAAGTAAATAATTGAACATGAGACATTATACTTCGTATATTACCAATGAAAAGATATGAAATTACTCTTATTTTTTTTGGGTAAAGAAATTCAAAAAATTTGGTTATTTGGTAATTTGTCAGCGATGTTATTGGATTGCTTGTATTTAAAATATTATTTCATTATTAATTTAGCAATAAAACGCGTGAATATTGTTGTTCTTACGGAACATTATCAAATATTAAGTTATCATTGGTAATTCTAACACTAAATATCAAGATTAATGTAATTGTAACAGTAAACATTAAGATTAATAAATATTTAAAGATAAAATGTAGGAGCGTGCCAGGAAAGCTTCATCATTAGGAATGTATTTGCAATAAAAATACTCATAATGATTACCAGAAAGTTAAATATTTTTTACAGTATCGAAACTCATTTGGCTTAACATCAATTTGTCATATTTCATTTATCTGAAATACGTACATACCGTAATATTATTATTGATTCAAAAAAAAGTAAAAATAAAGTAAAATTCTTGTTTTTTGTTTGATTTTTCTTCAAAATAAATCAATGATTGGAAAGCAAAAAGACGTTATCATCATCATTATCAACATTATCATCATTTTCAATAACAAACACTGATGAATGTTTAAACGCTTTTTTTTTTCTTGGACAGATTAATAAATTCAAAAAAAAACGCTAATACCATTTATGCTCCATGCTTGGATGATTAGAAAGTTTTCATTTTTTTTCTATTTGCAAGGAATAAATTAATTAGGAATTCTGCTAAAATTTAAACTTAATTTTTCATATGAAGCTTTTAATTATTTTAAAAATCCAATCAGGATAAAATACTTATCCCTATATCATATTATCATACTTTAATTAAATCTATTTGCATTGGAATTTTTTCAATTATATCATGATGACGTTTCACGGTTTATTAAATTAAAATCAAATTAAATTTAAAGTTATTATCATCATGATCGTTATCACTGCATTACTGATATGTAATCATGGCGTTCGTTTGTCGTCTTCGTCGACGTTTATCATCGATTACATTTGTCATCGGAACTGCCATTTCGTGTCCAGCAAGGGCCATCTTTTCTCATACCTCTTGTCATTCATTCATTCCAGCCTTTTCTTTCTTCCTTCCTGCTTTCTCCCTTTCCTCCTTTTCCTTTCTCTTTTCCTCTTCTTCAATTTCATCCGGTATTTATTATCAATATCATCGTTATCATCATCATTATCACCATCATTTCATTGTCACTTATGTCAACGACAGCATTTTGCATTGTTTTCAACCAGTAATTTACTTTGGAACTATTTGTGCTCCTTCTGAGTGGTAACATCGTTAAGCTTGAGTGGTAACAGTGTTGGTGGTGGTGGTGGTGGTAATGGTGGTGGTGGTGGTAGTGGTGGAGGCGGCGATTGTGATAATTATTAGCTAAGGAGGCGGTATTGGTACGAATGACGATCAATTCTTACTACAATATTTATGGAGCAACAACACAAACGACAGCAACAACAACAACAACAGCAGGAACAACCACGACAACGACAACAATTGATTATTATAATCTGGATATTACTAATAAGTTTAAATCAAATAACAATAACTATAGCTGATAACAATGTATCATACAATGATAACGATATTGTTTATGATAACAATATCAGCTACAATAACAACAACAACAGCAATAACAACAACATTAACAATAATAATTATGCTGGTAATGAGCGTTATTCGGTTCTACGACTACGTACCAATGATCTCAATCAGTTCTTATCGATAAAAAATTGATCGATTCATCTGTTGACCTTAAAGTAAGCTTCTTTTTGTTTATTGTTTGTTTTTCTATTGATTAAGTTAAATTAAAATTTTACCTTTCTTTTTGTTCCTTAAACGAAAAAAATGAAGTGATGATGTAGAATTTAATGAAGTTGAAATAAAGCGAAAAAAAAGGCGACAAAAGTGATCGGTTGGTCAAAAATGATAACATAGAAATAATTAATTTAAAATTAGATAGATTCAATTTCACTTAGAAATTAGAATTATTGAGGAAATTATGTTTCCATGATAATCTAAAAAATGATAATAATTCAAAATACATTTACAAAATTCTATGAATTATTCAATAAATTTATAAATAGTATTTAAGGTTTTGAAAATATTTCAAAATTTCCCACATATAAATTAATAATTTTTTCCACTGATAAATTAATTAGGAAAAAGTGCAGGCTTAATTTGCATAATTTCAAACTTATTTCATTTATTCATCCAAAGATTAAATGCAAACATAAATAACTTTCGAGACGTACATGAAATTCAACAAACATTAGTTTATGACTGAAATTTATTTTTAAAATTATTTATTAATCAAAAAAAGTGAATTGAATTTATCTGATTGTAAAAATTAAATTACTATTATTATTTATTTTGGATTATTTTGAAATATCAAACAAGTACGTGAAACAATTCAATAAATAGAAGGTAAAAACAAATGAAAAAAAAACGTTAAATGAAACCGACCATTTCAGTAATTGAAATGAACACGCTAAGGCAATATTTTAACAGATTTAAGCTAATAATAAGCGAGAGACTTCTCTGAGAAATTCCCCGCTGATTATATCTTTAGGAAATCTTCGGTTTGTTATGCCTTTGGGAAATCTCCCGCTATCTTAATGCTGGTGTAAAAGCATTGGATAACTTTCACATGAGATCATGGTTCCTAAATTTGATACACTTTCTGCTTATACTTATAGCCGAATCAATCCACTTGAAATTTTTTTCGTCACCTCATATCGATTGTCACTGTATTTTAGAATAAAAAACGAAAATTCGAATTGTTCATTTAAAAATTGATTTTTGGAAATCTCCCGCTATCATTGCTAACGAAAGACATTTGTTCTAATGAACTTTTTCGCTAAAAAAGTTTGCACTGCCCAAAATATTCATATCAAATTATGAAATAATTTTAACCATTATTGAATTTCAAAGAAAAAAAAACAACAACGACGAATTATTTCATTAACCTTTACAAAGAAGTAGTGCAAGTTTTGAAAATTTTGGGTCAAAAAAATTAGGCATCAATTATATAAATTACATTGAAAATAAAAAAAAAATCAAGTTCCGTCTCAAAATTTATTTCCTCACATTGTGTGGAAAAAATTTCACCAATTCAAACATTTCTTCGCCTCTTCCTTTCATCCTACATGAACTTTTATGCATTTTCGAAATTGTCCACGTCCCCATTTTATGTGAAATTTTAATTTTTTCCCGTTTTTTAAATTTCAGTTTTTTCTCTTTTTTTTTGGAATTTTGATTTTTTGTTTGAGTTTGCCGAAATTTCGATTATTCATTCCGTTTCTCTTTTTCTTTTTTCTTTTTTTTTTGTTAAAGTGGTTTCTTACTATTTAACTTGTTGATATGCCTTTCTTTACCTATTCAATTTCATTTTCCGCATTGAATTTCGTTTCGTTTGATGCATTTGATTGAAATCATTGCACCATCTTTAATTTCGTCTTACATATCTAATTCCATTTTTATATTTTTAGTTTTATTTTTTACAACTTTAATAATGTATAGTAGAAATTGAAACAATAGTTTGAATCAAAGAAGTAGAAGGAAAAAACGATAAACAAATGAATAAATAAAATATAAAAAATTCCAGTTGTCAATTTTACTGCTAAGGAAAACCACTAAATGTTTGTGTTTCAAATCTTCAAATATTTTTAATCTTTAATGAATTTCAAAAAAGTGAATTATTCCATTAACTTTTATAAGGAAGTAATGCAGCTTTCGAAATGATTTTTAAAAATATTTCAAAAAATTGTATGGATTAGGAAAATAAGCAAATAAAGTGAAATGTATAGATAAGTAAAGAGAGCAAAAATTCATGAACCAGTGCGAAGCTAATTATCTTTCAAGAGTAATCCGGAAAATTGGAAAGTTATTGTTTTATGAAAAAGTGAAGTATTACAAAAATATACATGGAAAGTAATTTATATCAAAATTTCAGGTAAATTTCTGGAAAATAGCACGAGATGTAAACGATGTAAGTGATGTAATGGTTCCGGCTAGTACTATGAAAAAAGTGCTGCATTTATTACATATGGGAAATGTTAATGTAACTGTTACTATTCCGGATGTTGAACGGTTATTCTTTTCTTCCGTTTTTTATTTCAAATTTTATTTTCAAAAATTTATTTTTTTCAACATTTTCAGTATGCAGTGCAAAAAAAAGAAATCATATAACAACATTAAAACTTATAAAGTAATTAGTGAGAACTAATCGCGAAATATTAAGTTTGAAAATGAAGAAAAAATTAAAAATTAGATTTGTTGAAATTATTTCTTAAAATTTAACATCTCATTGCTAATGTTATTGCATTATTTTTGCATTTGTTTTTGAAATTTTGATTTTTAATTTATTTGTGCAATATTATCTTTCATTAAAAAAGAAGGACCGTTTGGATATGCAAAAAAAATAAAAAAATTAAAAAAGATGGCTATTTATGTTTACCACTTTGATTAATTATTTTAGAATAGAAATTTCATTAAATCACTTCCTCTTTATTCAGCAATTGAAATTACAAATATTAATTATTCAGAATATTTATGATAGTTTGTAATTAATCGATCATTTGGTGTCAACTAAAACCTTGAAAGGGAATAATTGATTGTTTCGATCATTTTAATTTGACACGAATATTAAAAAACTTATTTCAGCCAGGGAGTTTTTAAATTAGATGATCTGATGATTTGCTGGAAAAATAAATAAAATTTGAGTAAATAATACAGCAGTAGTATGTATTTAGATTTTCATTTCCGAATGCAAAAACATTGTTTTTTAAATTTGTCGAAAGTTTCTTTTTTCTTTTTCATGATTTATTGATTTTTTTCGATATATATTCCGCTTCTTCTTTAAAAATGAATTTTTGTTTAAATAAGAAAGTATTGAAACGGAAAATTGCGTAGTTTTTAATTTGGTAAGCAAAAACAAAAAAAAAATGAAAAAATATTATCGGAATTTGAATATTTGAAATGGTTATTTGTTAAATACTCGAAAATTTTGATAATAAACATAAATTGGTAAAATACTAAACTTACACTTAATGTATGCAAAAAACCAAAGAAGAGAACCACTATTAAAATTATTGGTAAAGGACGAAATTCTGAAAATTTTAATTAATTAAAAAATATGTCAATTCATCCAATTTAATTTAATACGAAGAATAACATGAACATTGTTATCACGATAGGCCTAAAATAGAATAATTAATTGATAAATGTTTTTCTCGTTTGCGCTCATATCTGTTTTCGTTTCTTCTCTTTTTTTTGCGTCATTTTTACAAGAAAGATTTATTTGTCCAAAAAGTTTTATTGATTACCTAATCTTATGTGGGTATTTATCTGTCCAAAAATTGTTTATCAACAAATTCATTATCATTTATTTTATCTGTTTGTAGCTTATCAACATTATTCATCTTTCTTTACTTTGGAATCTAGAATTTTTTAATTTGCTTTATTATGACAAAGATAGCAAAAAAAAAGTAACAAACAAAATTTTCGATTGAAAAAAAAAAATGAGAAGATGAAAATAACGAATGGAAAAAATGTATAATTTAAATGAATCGTTTTTCTTCTTTCTTGATATAAAATAAAAACCTGTTTTGTTTTGTTTGTTTGTTTTTCTTTTTCCAGCAAACATTTCCCATGATTACAATGATAATTGAACGTTAAGAATTATCAATTACCATTTCATCAAAGACAGTTGAACGTCAAAAACTATCAATTATCTCTTAGTTAAATTAAATTATCAGTGACCACTTAATTTAACCACAATTAAATAGTGATTAAACGTTAGTGATTGTCTTTCCGCTAGTAATGGTGATAAGATAAATGATTAAATGTTAAAGAGTTGATAATGATAAATAGAAGATAGATAAGAGTTGAAAATATATGAATTTATATTTAGCTGAATTAAACATTGTTGTGGGTAAAAGATCAAAAAAAGAAAAAAAATATTTGTTAATGAATTTTCACATTTTATGAAAGTAATCGTTTATGAAAGTGATTGCTGAAATGAAATTCGATTCAGCCAATTATTTTGTTTCAAAGTTTATAATAATTATCAAAAATTGCACCTTCGTCAGTTTATAATTCGACCGAAAGTTTCTGAGATAGGTATAAAATTATTTCTTTTCATTTTTAATTCAATGAAATTAGTCACTTTCCCTTTTACTTGGCTATTGTCATGAATTTTCACATTTCTGAAATTAATCACCTAATTGAATGAAATTAATCGTTTTCACTTTTAATTGATTATATTCCATATTTATAAGTTTTTGCATTCAGTGTAATTATTTTTAGTTTTAATCTAATAAAATTAATTATTTCTGCTTCCAATTGATTATATTTCACATTTATGGATTTTCACATTTAATGAAATCAATCGTTTTAACTTTCAATTCAATAAAATTAATTTTTTTTTTACTTATAGTCGACTACATCTCACACTTTTCTTCATTTAATGAAATTAATCATTTCCACTTTAGATTAATCTTTATCCATGAATTAAATATCATGTAATAGGACGTTTTTTTTGCCAGAGTCAGTGTTTGCTTAGAGCTGAATAAATTAGGTGGTAAAACTAAAATACTTAATTGTTCATCAAATATGGGTCTTTTTATTCCAAAGTAAATTATCTACAAATTGAAATAAATTGATTGAATTTCATGGTAATAAAAATATAAACTTGAACTTTTGAACTTGAGCGATCCAATTTTTTTCGAATTTAATTAATCAAGTAGAGAATGGGAAAATTTAAATGAACATACCATTTTAGACATATCAGTTTAACTGATATTAGTTTCGATTTCAGATTAATTATAAAACGGGAAAAAAAATGTGGCGCATTTGATCAGCAGCGTTATCGGGATGATTCGCGATCAACTTCGAGATCAACTGCTGAATCCGTCAAATACGATTTCTATACATACGGTTCATATAAGGAAATGATTTTATGGTTACGAGCATTAGCCGGGAAATATCCGAATTTTGTACGATACATATCGATCGGAAAATCTCATGAAAGACGTAGCATTGATGGCTTAGAGGTTTGTATATTTGAAATTGTTGTAATACTCCTTCATTGCTTACAATAGTCTCGATAACATCAATCAAAGGTTACACTAATCAATAAGCATAAGATGATCATGATGATACAATCGTAGCTCTTTGAAAGCGGGAAGATTACCCGGGAATATCTAAAATATGCATTATCATGTTAATTAAAGTACAGTTAATCTTTCGTAACAGTAACTTTTTTCTTTCTTTTTCTTTCTTGTAATTAATTTGTACTCGCGAAACTATACAATTACTATTTCGCTTGTTTTTGGGATTTGTAAATTTGCAGAATTAAGTTTGAACAAATATGCTTGTTAAAAATTTGTTTAAAACTACAGATAATATCAAAATCAACTAAATTTCCTCATTATAATTGCCAGTTTTCAATAAATAGATTTTTTAAAAAATAAAATCATAGATTTGTTAAAAAAAGTGTCGTAAAATTAAATTTTTCTTTTTCATCAAAATCCCCTCCTTATTTTTTCTCTGTTTTGTTTTTTTGTCTTCCTAAATTTCCTTTTGGATTACACCGATGTGTTCACTTTTTTCCGCCTGTAATTAAATTATTCTTTTCGTCTCCCAAAATAACTGATTATAATGATAAGTTGGTTCATTCATCCATTTTTGCCACATTTATTCATCTGTATATCATTTCATTTTCTCATTTTAAATTTTGCAAGTATTCAAATTTTAAATATTTGATTGGAAAGATTTTTTTTTGGTTAATGTAAGAAAAATTGTTCAAATTTCAAACAAAAATGACCATTTAATGATTTCGTTAATTTATATATAAAAGATCGAAAATCAAATATGAATGAAATCATTTCACTAATTCTTATTTTCTAAACACATGTCAGTTATACCAAGAAATCCATAATTCTATGTGTAATTTGTAGAAAAAAAATACAAAAAAAGGAACTAAT